CTTCACGGCTCCACGCTCACCCCCACACCCCTCACTTTGTTATTCTTCCCGCTCTATTCCCCCTTTCGCACACCCCACCCTTGCCTGCTCCGCGATTATCGGAATCTCTTGGTCACGCCCGTCCTCGCAGAGTTACATACGAGTTCATAGTGAATGGGGCAAACCGCCAGCGCAAGATGTCGGCAATCAACGAGGGGGAGGGGGAGGGGGAGGGGAAGAGGGTCAGAGAGGGTCGTGCGGGAGGGAGGCGAGGCGAGGAGAGAGGGGTTGAGGGACGAGGGCAAAGAGAGAAGGAGGGAGGACGCACTCGGCGTAGTACCTGACGAGAGGAGAGAGAGAGAACAGCGCGAGTCAGTTACGCGCAGACGAGAGAGAGAGTGAGTGAGAGACGCACTTTGGCTTGTCGCCATAGCTCGCGACCTGGTACTCGGGCAGGACCTGGTCGCCCGTGCCGCACGTCGAGCCGAGGACGTAGTTGCACGCGTTGCGGCACGCGCCGACGTTGGTGACGGGCGGCGACGCGGCCGGGTTCTGGCACTGGTCGAGGCAGGCCGAGGTGCGCAGGCGGCAGTCTGGTGCCGGGCGAGGGTGTCGGTTGGTGCGAGAGGGTCGAGGGAGAGGGAGAGGAGGCGAGAGAGTCAGTAGGGGACGTCGCAGAGAGGGCGAAGAGGAGGGTGCAGGCGCACCGTACGTGTTTACGGGGACGACGAGAGGCTGGAGGCGGCTGTCGGAGCCCTTTGAGCACTTGCAGTTCCAGCCCATCGTGTCCGGGTTGCAGCTGCGGGTGCGGTGCCGGCGGCGAGGTGAGCTCGAGGGTCGGAACGGACAAAGGGGGGTAGGGGGCGCACAAGTTGTCGGTGACGGTGCCCTGGCCCGAGCATCCTGCGGTTGCGCAGAAGGCCGTGGTCGAGTTGCAGATCGAGGTGCGGGTCGAGGCGCTCTGTGGTAGAGAGGGAGGGATCGGCGGGCGACAGGGATAGAAGTGGGGGTGGAGTCGACGCGAGGTCGCCGGGGTGGAAGGGGGAGGGAGAGGAAGGGGGTGCGCAGGGGTCAGCTGTGGACTAGTGTAGGTGGGAGAGAAGGTGCTGACCTCCTCTGTGAGGTTGTAGCGGTAGCCTGGGAGCGAGCTGGCGAGGGCTTTGGCGGACGAGGTTGCGAACGCGCCCGAGGTCTGGGTTGCGTACGCGGGGACCGAGAGGAGGCTGGTGGCGGTGGCGGTGGCGTTGGCTGCTGCAGGGAGGTGGGTCAGGTCCAGGGTAGGAGAGAGGGAGGGAGAGAGGAGGGCGGCGAGGTGTGTGCACCCGAGTGGGAGAGGGGGGCTCACCTGGAGCTGCGAGGGTTGCGAGGGGTGCGTGCGTGGCGCACAGTGCGAGTGCTGCGAGTGCGAGCAGCATGGCCGGTGTCGGTGGACGAGCGTGGTCGAGCGTGGTGAGGAGGAGGAGGAGGACGGAGGAGGACAACGCGGGGAACTTGTCCGATGGTCGGCTCTCCTCCCCCCTCTCTCTGCCGCACACTTGCACGCACTGCACGAGGCACTGCCGCTACTCGACAGAGCCACCTCCTCACGGCCACCCCCGAGACCCGACCTCTCACCGCCACCCTCGCCCCCTCCGGCGGGTCTCTGAATCGCCCCCACC